GTGCTGTGCCATGTACAGTCATTCCTGAGACTGAAACTCTAGAGAGCAGGAGATGGAGTTTTCTTGGCAGCTAACTCATACTTGCAGAAATCCCTTGTTGCAAGTGTTGAGAGGTGTGAAAACTTTCAAAGCCAAGGTACTGGATTCTTTAATGTGCCTGCAGCCATATTAAAACAAGCTGAAGGTTGAAGTGGAGATAATGATAAAGACAATAAATGAACCTCCCTCACTGCCTTGGAAGTACAAAGGAAAATGAAGTGAGAAGTGTAGATCATATGCGTTTATATTACCAATAAACTTGATGAAATGTTTAAGGGATTATGATAAACATAATTATTATTAGGCAAGCAAAAGTACTGCTTTGTGTTCTGTCCTGTATTGTAATATCTGAAAAGTAAGTGTGGTAAGAAATGCTGATAGATCCTTGACATTGTTTAGGGAATGCAAGTTTTCATTAACAGTCCTTCAGTGCTTTAAAGTAGGTTCATGGATTAAGTGTTATTATTGTATTTAAAGCTTAGAAATCATAGAATCGTAGAATGGTTTGGGTTGGAAGGGACCTTAAAGATCATCCAGTTCCAACCCCCCCTGCCATCAGCAGGGACACCTTCCACTAGACCAGGTTGCTCAAAGCCTCATCCAACCTGGCCTTGAACACTTCCAGGGAGGGGGCATCCACAGCTTCCTTGGGCAACCTGTTCCAGTGTCTCACCACCCTCACAGTGAAGAATTTCTTCCTAATATCTAATCTAAACCCACCTTCTTCCAGCTTGAAGCCATTACCCCTTGTTTTGTCATTAACTGCCCTTATGAAAAGTCCTTCCCCAGCTTTCTTGCAGGCCCCCTTCAGGTACTGGAAGGCCGCTATAAGATCTCCCCAGAGCCTTCTCTTCTCCAGACTGAACAGCCCCAACTCTCAGCCTGTCCTCATAGGAGAGGTGCTCTGGCCCTGGGATCATCCTGGTGGCCTCCTCTGCACTTGTTCTAGCTGCTCCATGTCTCTCTTGTGTTGGGGGCTCCAGAACTGGACGCAGTATTCCAGGTGGGACCTTATGAGAGCGCAGCAGAGGGGGCGAATCGCCTCCCTCGACCTGCTGGCCATGCTTCTCTTGATGCAGCCCAGGATACGGTAATCCAAAGGAAAACATTTGGCCCTCTACCCCCAAAGAGCAATATGAAAAATCTTCTCCAAGCTATGATGCTTATCCCCTCCCCAAGATTTTAAGTGTAGGGTTAAATCTGCTTGATGTTTAAACACAGTGTAGGATGGGACTTCCAGCTTGAGATACTACTTCTTCATTGGTGGTGGAGGAGAATCAGAATCAGTTGAAGATACACTGATAAACAGTGTCATAGCAATGAAGTCATAGCAATGACTTCCAGATAGTGAACTGGAGATTAGAATTTTACCAGCTGGTTGGAGACATATCCTCTTAGGAAGAACTTTGGCTTATATGATGCTTTACAGTTATATAAAACTTTGCCATACTTTAGCGATTGAAGCTGTAATTTCCTATCTGTATGATTTAGGTTACAAAAAACCCCCTACAACAACAAAGAAGAAAGTAGTTTTACCTAAAAATGGAATAAGAAAAGCTCCAGTACATGCAGTAATGCTACCTTCTCTGTTAAGACATCCTGTCAAATGATGGGAGGCAGCAGTTAACCATTCAGACTAACATGTTTGTTCAAAACATTGGTTGAAAGTTGTTGGGTGGGGGAAGGAAAAGAGAGAAGTTTATTGTTTATTTCACCATCTGTTGACCTTGGAAAGGTGTAAGTCAATATGGAGTTTTAGCTACTTCCTAACTATGTATGTATAACTTAACTATTGGACTGTGATACATATTGTTTCTGTTCATTCTGTGAATGAGCAATTGAAGAAGCTTTCTTAACTCTATGAACATATTTACAAAGATCAAGTATAGCTTCTGTACCTGCACCCAGACAAAATTGTCCCAGTCAAGTTAGCACCACCTTGTGTGCTTGCACTCTGTTAATAAGCCAGTCTAAGGAACTGGTTTGGTTACAGATAAAACTTTGTTGCTGGAAAATCATGGCTGCAATGGATTTTTTTCTCATGTAGTGCCATATTCTGTTTGCTTGTCTTTATCTTTTGATATATAGCTCTGTTATTACTTACTCTTTTTCAGACAACTAACATTTGTTGATTGCTAGGTTGGTCATTTCTGACAGATTTCATACCACTTTCTTCACCTCCTGTCAGTAATGGTCTAACAAAATTTCTTTCAAGACATTTATTTTTTTCCCCCTTCATTATCACCTTGTGAAGCAAAGAGTATCTAAATCTACACCTTGCTGTTTAAATTTTAGTTTCTTGAAAACAGCATTTTGTGACATATTGGAAGGTTTAATATGGTTTGATCTGTCTCTAAACTGTTAATAATATTCTATTGGAAATCTATATTTTGCTGAAGTCACTGTGTTACGGACACCAGGTTTTGATAGTAACAGTCTTGGATACTTTGGGAAAATTGCAAGTAAATACACTTTTGGAAAGGATAAGAATTATTTCTCTTTAAGAAAAAAGGAAAAGGACAGATCCCATTAGCAGATATTGTTATTCCAATACCAGAAACAGTACAGCTGTAAGACCTTTGTGCTCTTATAAACTGTTCCCAGCAGTGTCAATTGTAGCACCCTGTGACTGCAGTGCAGAGCCTGCTCTGGTGATGGAGAGCTAACTATAGCTGCTCAAGAAGCTGAATGAATAAACTGGATTGGGATTCTGTGACTGAAATCCCTCCAGGACCCATCTTTGCTGGCTTACTACTGCTAAAATTTCAGTATGGGTATACCTTTTTCTGTCTTGAAGGTCTGTTACCACAGGTGAGGTAATTCATTTACTAAAGGGGCAGTAGGAAACATGCCTGCTCCATTTTCTAATTCTTTGCTGTGATCATTAGTCCATGTATTTTAACACAATACTAATCTTTCCTATAAATATCGCACACACCACGCCCCCGCCCACCCCACTGCCCTTTCTTTAAGCTCAAAATGGATACTTTTCTGAAAAGTTTTCGTGGCTGACTGCTACCAGGCAATGAGGAATTTTAAGTTTTCTGATACTGCTCTTCACT